CTCAAAAAAAAAAAAAAAAAAAAAAAAAAAAAAGGGTTTCCCCGGTTTTCAATTTTTTCAAGTTTTACACTGAAAACGCCCAAAACGGCAAAAAAGTCGTTTTGTATTTTCTTCACAAATTTTTTTTTTCATTTTCGAAAATTCGTTTTTGAAAACGGGAAAGAGAACACGTTTTCACCGTTTTGAAAAATCGAAAACAGAAAACGACCCGAAAACGGTAAAGAGAACAGGGCCTTAGTTTTTATTGTAAATTATACTATAGTCAACATAAGTGGCTCTGCTTAATATCATCATCTTTGAACTAACAAAAATTTGGATATAATTGATTGGGCATTTTTTCTTCACCATATCTATAACAATCGCAACTAAACTATTGGAGTTGATTATCACCGAATTCAATTATTATAACATCAAATTTTATCATTGGTTGCTAGTGCCCTAGTTGATACGGGTTCATATTCACGTGTTACTCTTGCATTTTTATCCTCGTGTCAGAAAAAAGAAAAATAAAATAAATTAATAAATCTAATCTTGTGTAGCGGACATAAAAAGGCGTTGACATGTTCTTTGTTTATGGTTCCATGTTTTGATTTTATTTAAGTTTTAAACAAGTATTTGAATGAGACTCATGGCATTTAACACTCATAAATCAACTACTGTCCGACGGACCAAGGTACAAAATAAAATGTTATGTGCCATATTATTTTTTTCGAGCATGATTTATAAATCATTTAAGTTTGAATTCATGAAACGCATATAACGCTTAGAAGGAAATATGTTATGCATGTTATTATTTTGTTTTAATGAATAAGAAGATGTGATAGGAGGCCATTATATTAAAACTCAAATAGCATAATGTATAATTTGAGATTGCTAACAAAGATAAACATAATTGGACACTTACGTGACAACACATGGGTAGAACTTATCAGATTGTTAGAAAGACTACAACTTGTAGAGTGGCGTTGAACCGTCGGTCTATCATTCAATTCCATGAAAATCACGTGACTGACCTGACTCATTTTATGAAAGATGTATGTCAACTTCAGATGCAGGGATGGAGATCACACATATCAAGGTTGTAAATAATCTCATATACTCACTTTCACCTCAATGGGGGAGACATGGGAGTTATGATTAGGGATGTGATGCTAGAAGGTTACCCTCAAAAGCACCCAAACACGATGAAGTTTGGTATATTTTGTCAGACCCTTCTAGATAGGCGGAGTGAGTGCTTAGAACCTCAACTAGAGATAGTACATGAGCTCAATGATGAGGTTGAGCCTGAGTTTGAGCTCGAGCCCAAGCCAAAACCTCATTTTGAATCGAATCTAGAGGAAGACTCGAATGGGAGCATGAGGATGACTTTGGGTTGGAGTTAGAGAATGATCACAAGCATAAACCTGAGTCACTAATTGATGGACATAGAGTTCAGGCCTTGAGGCAGAAGACTTCTCCAAAGATGAAGCTCTACCAAGAAAGATTCGTAAGATTCATAGGGATTAGAAACTTAACATCTATATCCTTTGTACTGTGACATTTATTCCTTTATGTTATTGGAAAATTAAAATTTGTTGAACTATGGTATATTCTGATTTCAATGAGTATTATTAATAAAAATTTAATTTTCTTTGAATATATTGAGTTACTTAGTTGTCCAACATTTTTAAGATTAAATTCATTTTTTTTAAATGAAATGGTTGGACAACAAGACCAAATAGCTATGTTCAAGGATCTGATGAGGACGGTGCACGACCTTAGTAGAAATCAAACACAAGCACATTCTCAGAATAGACAAACAAATGCCAACAACACGTGTTGAATTGTAGAGCAGTATCACCATTTCAAGCATCCTTTTTTAGACAACAAGGCAGACCTTTTGGTAGTTGAAGAGTGATTAAAAGGGTTGGAACAAATCTACAAACACATAGTATGCACTGACGCACAAAAAGTATCATGTGCTGAATTTATGCTGGTTGGAGCAGCAGGCTATTGGTGGGAGTTTGCTTCACGCACTAGAATGGAAGCACAACAATGTGCTATAATTTGGGCATAGTTCAAAGAAGAAGTGATGAAAAAGCACTTTTCAATCCCTGAGGGATCAAAGAGAGGCAGAGTTCCTACAGCCAAAACAATGAAATATATCGCTTGTTGAGTATGAAAGGAAGTTTGAACAACTTTCTAGGTATGCTACATACCTTGTGGACATCGAACTAAAGAAGGCTAGGAGGTTCAAACTAAGGTTGCATACAAAGACTGGAGGAATCATATCATCTCACCATACGACTTCCCATAGCGAAGTGCTTTAACGGGTGCAGTCAATTTCTGATCTTCCATACAGGATGACGCCAAAAGAATTAACATACAATTGCAGGAATTGTTGGATAAAGTTATATTCGACCAAGTACATTTCCTTGGAGTGTACCGATTTTGTTTGTAAAGAAAAAAGATCAAGATCAATGAGGTTGTGCATTGATTATATGAAACTGAAACGATTGACTATAAAAAATTAATATCCATTTCCTCGGATTAAAGACCTCTTTAATTAGTTGAAAAATGCAATAGTAATTTTTAAGATTGATTTGACGTGAGACTATTATTTGTTGAAAATGAAGGCAGATGAAATTTCAAAGAAGGCATTTAGGACTTGCTATGGTTATTACGAGTTCACGGTAATGCTCTTTGGATTAACAAATGCTCCTA